GTGCCTTGATCAATTCTCGGCATTCCCTTCACAGCTAAGCATCACCAAAATACCTCCCGGTCGACCAACTCGAATGCTGCCGCCTTCAAGTCAAGAAATATGACGATTTTTGGATGCCGGTAAGTGTATGTTCCAGAATCAGTCGGCAGTTTTTTTTTTCAACTTTCAGATAGTTCTAGATAGTGTTAGTCTACAGAAATCTGTCTGAGTGCAAACAGTACTGGTGGTGAGACGTTGAACACATGAAAGAGACATGAGAAAGTCTGTTATGTACTTAGCTACTTTTTTTCTTAGGATTTCTTGATGTGTGTGTATCCTGAAATTTTATATGAATTCTCTAAATGTCTACTAATAAGGATGACAGTGTGGTGTTTCGTAATACATTTTGAAAACTATCACAAACTGGCAAAGGTTGGAATTTATACCCCCAATTGGTGGACCACAGCATCCAACAACTGAATGGTCTACGAACACTCATCTTGTCACCTGAAGATCCAGATTCGAACGCCCTTCCCCCCCCGCGTAGGTGCTTACCGTTGAAAACGGGGGCGCAAACTAGGACAAAAAAAGTTGTCCGATAGTTCTTCAAACGATGTTGGATCACGATCGAAACTATTGATGAATTTGTAGGCATAAGAGAGAGAGAGAGAGAGAGAGATAGGACAGTGAAGAGATGAATAGCTATCACATAACAGCTTGGTTAGCCGGTGAAAGGAGAAGAGAAGAAGAATAACAGCAACTCCATCCTCGAAAACTTTGTCATCTACGGACATCGAGCACCCCTGCGGATGAATACTTCACAGCACTACACAAAGCCCCTCAATATAATGCAAAGGGACTTCGCATATGCCGTCTGTACATACCTGAAGCATAAGCTATTCGGGATCTGTTCTGATGGAGTTGTGTGCCTGTGTGCTGTCTGTTGGTGGCACCGTGGTTAGCACTCTCGCGGACCACGCAAATGGTCCAGGATTCGATCCTCTGCCAACGCACACCTGATATCAATGGTCGGCCTGCTAAATTTGGCTTCGAGATATCACATGCTGAAAATTCCATACTCGTATCAAAAATACAGTGTGGAATCAAGCTATGATAAAAAAAATAAATAATAAATATCTTAAGGCCTGGAAAGTAGAACAGTGTCCATTCAAAATATTCACAGTTAAGCAATTCAACCTGCGAAAACCACAGAGATAAACACTTGGTTTAACACATGAAGAATAGCCTGTCACATGAATGGACACACGGACCAATTATTCGAGCGTAACTAGCTAGTGTCATGATCCCTGATCTTACTCTCTGACGGGATTCTTATCAATAAATATTGCAATTTTGGCAATAACGTACACAAAATGACACACCAGTGATGAATGGTTTTCGACGTTTGACAGTTGAATAAGAAACTTGATTTTATTCCACAGAATTCAAAGAATGACTGGTACTTATCATTTCTAAATAATTTAAAATTTTATCGATGGAAATTTCAAGTTTAAGTATTTAAATTTGTAGTACAATCGATGCCACGGTCAGATAGCTAAGTAACTCATGTTAACAACTTCAACTGTATATACAATTTTACATGTATCTGCGGGAGCAGTTACATTGGAATCACAGAAGGAAGCGCATATCTACGATTTTCTGAACATGTATCGAAAAGCCTATGTCTACATCTGGGAACAAATGCTTTAAACAGTAGCATCCATCACCAGGCATCTTCTTGACACGGGTCGGTCATGAGATGGACGTCGCGAAATCGTTTAAAATTATCCATAGGCAAAAGAGCTCAATTCTCTTCAAGTTTGCTGAAGCAATTTCCATTAAGCACCTGAAACCTGATTTATGCGTCCAGAAAGAAGCTGTTATCAGTCTTTCTTCCCCTGCCTGGTAACTGGCTGGATATTTTCATCTATGTTTCATCTGAATGCGTAATGCTGAAAAGTTTCCATAGTGTACGATCATGATTGTTCAGAAAAGTGTTTAATATTACATATATATACATAGTATTACTGTATGCATATATTAATTGATTGATTTTTCAAGTGATGGTTTGTAGGGATTTGATTGGTTTCAGGATTTCATCATGAGCTGAAATTAGTTAGAGAACCATTGGAAAACCTGCATGGAGTACTGGGCAGCTGTTTCGCCCTAGTTGGGGACTCTTCAGCAGTACGCACCCACGGCCATCATTCGAACCCAGGACCTTCCGGTTACAAAGCGAGTTCGTATACCATTAAGCCACTGGGACCCGATCCAATGGTCCTTGAAATCTAACTTCTGCCAATTCACGACATAGCGCAACCGCTAGCCAATGTCTTCGCTGGCGAGTATTTGTCCTCACACCCGACCAGCTGCACCCTACTGGTCACGACTTTCCACTGGAACCCAGGTAACTACCTACCTGAATAGGGCCAGTCGCCAGTGAGCATCTCATTGGTATTCAAGTGTTAGTTTGTAGGGATTTGATTGGCTTCAGGATTTCATCATGAGCTAACATTAGTAGGGTGCAGCAGGTCGGGTGTGAGGACAAATACTCGCCAGCGAAGACATTGACTGGCGGTCGCGCTATCTCGTGAATTGGCAGAAGTTGGAACTCAAGGACCATTGGATCGGGTCCCAGCGGCTTAATGGTATACGAGCTCGCCTTGTAACCGGTGCAGGTTTTCCAATAGTTCTCTAACTAATGTCAGCTCATGATGAAATCCTGATTGATTTTTGTTTGAAATGAACTCTGAGCAAGTATGTTAAAATTGTTTCTGTAGATATATTTAATAATGCCTTTGGCCTGTGGAAGCAGCTGATGAGAAGGCAACGAAATAAACAATGGTGGTACCATTTTATCCTGCAAAAACCATTGTAGCTCTTGCTTTGTTCAAATTCATTAAAGGGGGAATTAAAGGTATGAAATAAAGCGCTATTTATTTATCTTAACCACTCATTTTTTTCTGGAATTTTTTGGGGCTTTTTTTAAGGGATTTTTTCACTGGAAGAGATTAAATCATCCTACGAGTACGTCGGTGGCACAGTGGTTAGGACTCTCATCGACCATGCACATGGTCCGGGGTTCGAGCCCACGCCAACGCACACGTGATATCTATGGTCGGCCTGCGAAATTTGGGCTACCGATATCCACGCTGAAAATTCCATACTTGTACCAAAAATACAGTATGGAATCAAGCTGTAATCAAAAATAAAATAAAAAATAAATTGTAAGAAGTCTATTATTTGCTTTACTATTCTTTTTTGATTGTTTCATTGCAGATAAAAGCTCAGTTTACAACAAGTATGAAGGTTTAATTCAATTTTAGACTTTTTCCGTCGATTGATTGTGGGCCGAATGCTCGGTCTCAGGTTGACATGTCTGCTGGCTTCTTATGCAGATGTTTTGACGATATCTCGGCATGTAATTATAAGTTCATCGGTGGATGGTGGACTAGCACTTGGGAATGCAGGTACTTTGGCTGACAACCAGTCCCAAATAGAACGAAATGCGCGTTATCCTGGATTCCACACTGCTAGTCACCATCCACCAATTGGTTTCTAATTACATGCCTAGACATTTTCGAAGCATCTGCACAAGAAGCCAATACACATGTCAACTTGAGACAGAGTACTTCAGTCCAATCCATTGACGGGAGAAATCTACAATTCAATTAAATAATAAATATGACCCGTTGTACAAGTGGTGGCTTTCGTGGCCCAAGTGGTCTACTGGATAACGCCTTAGGTGGCGCTTGAAACTGTGGCCATTGGGTTCGAATCTCGGTGGTGGGAACATCATCATCACTGAGTCATTGTGGAATGCAGGTACATCCAGCTGGTGGACGAGAACCAAATTGGAGGAAATCCGCGTTATCATGGACTGGATTCCACTGCTAATCATCATCTACCCGTTACCTTCTAAGTATGAACGTTATTTGTATATTTTATATGTTGCCTTATTTTCCTTTCTGTATAATGAAGGACTTATACTTGCCTACTATATCAATCAGTCTAAATCGAACATGACGTATGTTTTACGAATAGTTTCGAGGTTCGATGTACTATGGGTGATGGTGAGGGGCAGGTAGGAAGAGAGATGGTGATCCAGAGACGGTTAGTAATAGGAAATTCACGTTCTAACTATGCAAGGCTTTAACTATCGACGTTACAAAGTGCTGTCATGTAGTTTCTCATTAGTTCTTGTTCAATCAATCCATGAAGATAAACTTTACAACTGGGTTATTATTATTATTTTCTATAGTTTGGTTTCTACCGGTTAGTTTTGTTTTTACGAGTTGATTACGGATTGATATCAGTTAGAGAACCATTGAAAACCAGCACCAGAGTACTGGAGAGCTGTTTCATCAGACTAGTTTGGGAATCATCGGCAGTAAGCACTCAGCACAATGGGTTAAAACCCCGGACCTTCCAGTTACAAGGCAAGCTGGCTCGTATACCATTCAGCCGCTGGGATCCAATTCAATGGCCAGTTCATTAATTCTAACTTCTACCAATTTGTGTACTCCAGTGCTGGTTTTCAATGGTTCTTCAACTGATATCAATCCGTAATCAACTCTTAAAAACAAAACTAACCCTTACAAACCAAACCATAGAAAATTAACCTGATGCTCGCTAGTGATCACTAGCTACAGGATGGAGTTTCGTGGAGTCAGTTCTAATGAGAAGTCGTGACCAGTGAGGTCCATCCAGATGTCACGTGAGAGGATGGATGTCCCACCGACGATATTGGTTGGGGTAGCGCTAAATCACGAATTGGTAGAAGTTAGAATTCATGGGCTGGCTGACTGGCCATTGAATCGAGTGGGTCCCAGTGAGTGGCTGAATGGTATACGAGCTTGCTGGCCTTGCAACCGATAGGTCCTGGGTTCGAATCCCAGTGAATGCGTACCGCCGATGATTCCCAAATTGTTGTAATTCATTCATTTTCAAACAAACATCAATATTCACCGTGACACAGATAATATAAAGTTTTAAAAAAATCAAATCAAACTGAAACTCACCAAAAATTCATCATATGCATAAGTTTTTATCAGATTATTGTTCGAAGAGAGAAATGAGCTGCTTTTGCTTGTCGATGATGATGAATTGGGAAGGAGAATAATGTGTTGAAGACTTTCTGGTGCTGCTGACATAAGCCGGTCAACAACTTCAGTTGAATCACAGAACATAACTTGAAGCCTTGCTAAACGCAGTGAAGTAAAATTTATAAAAGCAGATAAATTTGTATTGTCAGACATAAAATGAAAGAAATTTGTATGACCAAGCACAAAAAAGAAATATTCAAATATGTGCGGCAGGTCGAGTGTGTGAAGAAAAATGCACGCCACCAAAGACATTGGATAGTACTGCCAGTCGCGCTATGTCGTGAATTGTCAAAAGTTAGAATTCATGCACTGGCTGGTCATTGGATCGGGTCCTAGTGGCTAGTCAACAAGCTCACTCGCTCGCTTGGCTTGTAACCAGAACGTGGTCCTTGGTTCAAACCCATTGTGGTGGGTGCGTACTGATGAAGAATCCCAAACTAGGTTGACGAAACAGCTGCCTGGCAGTACTCCCTGCAGGTTTTCCAATGGTTCTCTACCCAATGTCAGCAACAAACCAACATTTGAATATCGATGAGATACACACTAGCGACTTTCTCTATTCTGTATGTCGTAAAGACACATGGAGTGGTCTTTACTTAAATTTCAACAGTTTCTGTCCAGTGAGATTCATAAGAACGCTGGTGAAAACGCTTTTCTCTAGAGCGAAGACAATATGTTCACCGAACAAACTAGACAGTGAACTAATGCTTCTTGAAAAATGTTTGAAAGAAAATGGTTACCCACAAAGTTTCGTTAACAAATATGGCAAGAATGAACTCAAGAAGCTTGATACAACTACAGCCAGTAAGAAGCCTGTTTTCATTAAACTCGTCTACAATGGCGACATTATGAGTATGGTAAGGAAAAGATTAAGCGCAGCTCCGTCTAGGACGTTATCCTGCAGCGTTATTAGTCTCTATCTACCCCGAGAAACCTCTGTACTGGTGCAGTCAAAGATTGACAGGTACTCCTCACATGTTACCTCCAACTGTGTATACCAATTCTGCGGGAGCACTCACATTGGAAGAACAGAGAGGAGGGCCTACGTCAGATTCGGCGAACATGTACTAAGGAGCCAGCCTCCGGTTAAAGGGACGGAATTGTTTAAGCTCTTCAATCACCGCCAAACACCTGATTGACACGGGACACCAAGTAGATGTACTGGAATTATTCAAAATAATTAACAGGCAAAGTACTTGAAGTCTTCTCAGGTTTTCTGAAGCTACAGCAATAAAACGACTGAAGCCTGACTTTTGCGTGTCCAAAAAGAATCTGTTGTTGTTGGATTTCAAGTACCCTGGTGACTCACTTCTTCTTAATAACTCTTTTTGTTTTCTAATTTTGTTAACTTGTCTTTTCACTCTCGCCTCCCCCTTCGCTTTATTTTTCGCTTGACTCTCACAAGAGATAATTTTTCATAATCTTCTGAGTTCCGCTCACTGTATTACTTTAACAACAGAAGACAAGGGCCGGCAACAGATCGTTTTATTACGGAAATCAACACGTATTTATTTATATATATTTCACATGCATTATTATAGTTTATTCAAGTAGATAAACGCAGTCTTCTGATTGGTTGTTTCGGGTAACCATCGAAAAGTGGAGCCATCTACGAGTTATATTTGCCCACGTTTAAGTCTGCTGTGATTGGTTGTTGAATCAGCTTTGTTCATATTTTCTCACGGCCAATATTAGTGACCTAGACATTGACGTAGATTAATGTCTACAAATTGGCTAGCAGCTACCTCATGTGCACCGAAATTTTGTTCTTCTCTTATCTAATTACGTAACTATTACTAATTTTATTTTGTAACCACCCCCAACAACACAACTGTTACATAATTGCCTTTTTCCAAGACACTTTGTCTCTAACAAGATAAAGATATGTGTCGCAACACTTTAGACACCTTGTAAATCGCAACGCTTTATTTCACTATGACGCTGTGACAATATGCTTGCTAATAGATAAACGTTTGTTAAAATTGTACACTTTTTATTTTATTAAAGAATTCAGGTTGTACGCAGCTGCTGATGAGAACCGACGAAATAAGATGGATCCAGATTATTCTGTGCGACAATGTTTCTTCTTTCTTTGTTCAAATTTATAAAACTGAATCACTGTACGTAACCAAGATGTATGTTATGAAATTCTAGTATGAAGTTGTACTCAACAAGATCCGCCAACTTGGATGTAAAGGCATGCTGACAGTCGACATGAAGATATGTAGAAAAATGATGAAATTCTAAATTCATGGAATATTGGATACCAACACAATGGCTGGATTATTGTAACGATGACCTCACATTGGATGTTGATGAAAACTGCTTGCTTCCATTGAAATGGAAGAATTGTGAAGTGTTGCTCAACATTTTAAATTTCTTTCAATTGGTGCTTATTTATGAAGTCAGTCTGTCTAGTAATCACAATCACTTACAGAAATAAAAACCAACTTCCGGAGTGAAATTTCCATAAGTCAAGAATTCTTTCCCAAACCCGAACGAATCAATATTTCATAAGATATGTACAAATAACCTATCTGTAAACAAGAAGCCTCTTTACATACGACTGCAATTCAAGGGCGACATACCAAGTGAAATAATTACGAAGAAATTAAGAGAATCAGTTCAAAGAACTTTCATTGCTGGCGAACTACACATCTTATTCCCTACACGACCGATGGTGCTACCTCAACTGAAAGATGAAGTACCTAGACTAGCTAGCCACTTCTAATTGTATCTAACAATTCAACTGCAACTGTACTTGTAGTGAAACGAGTTATATTGGCCGTTGTTCTAGGAACTTGATTTTTCGTGGTCGCTGGCTCGAGGACATCTCCCACTATGACTAAGTAAAAGTGTAGTTAAAACCATTAAAAAACAGTTCGATATTGAACCATCTGGTGCAAACCGGCCAGCCTCAAAGGCAGCCAGCCAGCATTGAAGAATCCTTCTCTATCATCATCTACCGGATGCCACATAAATCGCCGAAATCATCGAAGCACCGAATGCTCCAAACACCAGAGGATATTGCGATTCGCCTCAAACAACTAGTGCTCTTTGTTCAAAAGAAACAAGTTAAGCCCCTACTACTTCCCTAACGTACCTTCATTAGAGACTAGAAATTCATGAATTTGTAATATTATCAGCTTTCCTAATTCAACTGACATTCAGTGTGTATTGTTATGTTGATGCTATTGAACTGTAATCCACTGGTAGTATTATTAATATTGATTCGATGTTATTTAAACAGCAACATGAATGTTGTTGTTCATAACACTAATTCATTCGTTCATTCACTCACTATAATGGATGGATATATAACTGTAGAGCCTGATGATGATGATGAAGGGGTTATCGAAAAGAGTACTTATTCATTGTTCAGCACACATTCTTTTGAACATTTTAAATGGGTTTTTTCACTGGCATCGTATGTTTTGAATGAAAAATACGACGTCAATAGCACGCCTTCATTCCATCCTGTTCCATGCAGTCGTCCTTAGCTGGCCCCACCATCGTCCATAATATATCTCTCATCTCCTTCTCACACGATCCCCTGCATGTCACACTCGGACGATGTTACAGGACTGACTGGACTACACTGATTCATTCCTAGCTTAAAGATACACAGAAGTGAAGTGGTTGGTGGAACACGTTGACCACTTCACTTTTTTATGGGGAAGTTGCATCAGCCAATGACAACAGATTCATCACTGACGAAATCTCAGCTGGGTAAGGATAGAGAAGGCTCGTTTCGCATATGCCAGTTTACGCCGTCTCTGGCTTAGTAGACGTGATATCCGGCTGGCTGGCTGGCTGTCGATCAAAGGGCGTGTGTGCTGCACAGCAGTCCGCTCCGTCCTCATTTATGGCTAGCTGTGAGAACTGGCCACTGAGAGTGGAAGGCATGAAAAGACTAGCTGTCTTTGATCATAGGTGCCTGCGTTCGTTCTATCTCCTTCCCGTGTGAGGTGGTATAATAAGGTGAGCAGTATTGAGGTTAGGGTTCGGTCAAGTGTTAGGTAAGGAGGAGAAGAAATGAATAGATGAAGCTGTGAAGCTACATCGGCTGAGATGGTTAGGACATGTGTTACGTATGACTAGTCATCGCCTTTCTCGACAATGGGCAGAGTTAGCTGGCTGACAGAGGGTCAGCCAGGAAAAGAGTTAGCGGCGGTCAGACCAAAACATGGCTTCATCAGTCAATAAAATCCACAACAGTTAGTTTAAGCTAGCCACGTAAGGAGGTGTAGACTGGCTTCCTGGTTGCGGTCCTCCGGACGCCAAACACCAACAAAGGCTGGGGATAATTGGTGCTATGGCTGGCTCAAAATCGTTCTCAATAGCTGGTGCAGATGCATCCACTCCATGTGACTTATGATTTCCAATAAAACTATATCGATCTTCGTTATCACTATTCCTTTGTCTCACACCTCTGTTTACTGTCTCTCCCTATTATGCTTTTTTTTCTACTTTCTCTTGCTTTGTATGCTACATGAAGGGAGTGTGGCTACTTGAACCGTTGCACATCGGTGCAAAGTGGTTCTATGTCGAAAACAGACAGACAGACATACTCGGACCAACATCCAATTCTTCGTTTACCATTCAGGTCCACTATATATGGTCAAGCACAAGATGACAGTCAACGATTTCTTCAAAGGTGCGTGTCTTGTCCATCCTTGATTCCTTCGCAATATTTAATAGGCTATTTGACTGTCGGTTGGTTCACTTTGAGAGTTCTTGGTTGCTGCTAATCCTTTATGACCATGTGACCTCCAGGATGAAGTCAACAAAGGCAGATGTGTTGATGAAAGTCTGCAGCAAGCTGTTGAAAATTATTTTTTTTAAATTTTTGATTACAGCTTGATTACACACCAGACTTCTTTTTGGTACAGGTAAGGGAATTTTCAGCATGTTATATCGGTAGGCCAAATTTTGCAGGCCAATCACTGATATCAGGTGTGCGTCGGCAGGGGGGACCCCAGACCATGTGCATGGTCGGCGAGAGTCCTAAGCACTGCGCCACCGACGCATATAACGTACACATCAAGTCTCTGAACCATAGACAGGAACTTAGTAGTTCATGGATAATCCCCATTCAGACATTAATGAAAACAAAACACTTAGTTCAGTCAAGTCTCTTTTCGTCGACAAATTTATTTCCTTAGCTCCACAATCGCAAATATATATATATATTATTTTGTAAGTATGTGTACATTAAGTTTGTCAAACAAAATTACAATTGGTTATGGTTATTTTAACTAAACAGGTGAAGATTGGTAATACAAGTCAAGAAAATTGAGTTTTAATGAAATTAGGGTAGTAACAAAGGTGATGAGTTGTCACAAACAGTTATTAGAAAAAGAAGTAATGTAATGATAATATGAATAGTTTGATGAGTAAGTTTTACTCAGGATACACATAGAAACAAAGTAGATAATACGAAATTACGTAAGAGTTCTGAATGAATACAAGAATTCTAAGCAATTAAAGAGCAGAACTTAGTAGTGTTGCAAAATCCAGATTTTTACGGTTAATGCTTGACTTCACATATATTTTATGATACAGGTGATGTAAAATGCAGTTTACACACGGAAAGTGACATTGAGTTAAACGTTCGAGCTGTATTCAACAATGGAGTCGTCCATATTTGTTATGTCTAATACAGTGATCGGTGGCATAGCGGTTATTATGCTCGCCGACCATGCGCATGATCCGGAGTTCGATCCCTGGCCACCGATGCACTCCTTTACCTCACTCGCTAAGCCAGAAATACTACTGGTAAAGAAGGAAGATTGGGCACGAGGCTAGCAGCCCTATCCTGTAAAATAAACACTGCTACAGAAACTTCACGCCTCTAGCTTGAAGGCACCCTATGTTTCATTTGGGGAACGTGAAGGAAAAAAAATACAGTGGAAAAGGGCCACCTGAGAAAAGATTTTGCAAAAACAACACACTTTTAAATAAATCAAATAATAATGACACTAACTCACTTTGGTTGACAATGCTTAAAACAGCTTCATCGCCCAAGGTGTCATACAACGGTACAATAGTATAACCAGAGAATGCACAGGCTAACTCTATCATTATCCACTGAAGAAAATAAAAGAAAAAAAAGACAAACGAGAGAAAATATAAGAACATTTTTTTCATATCAGGTTTTTTTCAAGCGAGCTATCAAGACTACTCAATTACTGTAAATTTGAGTAGTTAAGATGATATTATAAGACAACAAAAAAATAAATAAATAAATTTAGAATTGACCATCACTTCAGAGCAGGATGCATAAAACATAATTCCGATTGATTGGATTTCGAAATATGAACTCAACAGAGAAGTGTAACAGTTCGATTTCCCACCCTCCAGGTAGTACACACACAAAAGAATAGTAATAATAATCTACTTTATTCCAAAAACAGTACTTATAATAAAGAATGGAATTCTCAGCATTTGTCACAACACCTTACATCTGATTTACTCAAAATATAAATAAAAATTAAAAATTAAAACAAAATTAGCCAGAGGAATTTGTCCACATTTAAAGACAAAAGTATTCAAGGTACGAATTGAGAATATCAAACATAATAATAACAGTGATTTTGTTGTAAACAGTATTGTCGATTCAGTTTGGAAATTTTAGCATGCTATTATTGAAGCATGGAGTCTAGTGTTCTGTTGATAAAGCAGCATGGTGAGGGGAAAGACAAAATTGACAGTTATAACACAGCTTAAATGATGTTCACACTTTTGAAAAAATAAATAAATAAAAACAAAAACTTCAGAGGATTATAAATATAAGAAGTATAACAACAATAAAGGTTGATGTTATAAGGGTGGAGGAAATGGTTTATTTAGTAGTGCAAAGAAGGTTAGTTAGTTAGTTCACCCCAGACACTATTTTCATCACATATAATACGTGACACCTAATATCGTACAGTGGAATTTTTATACTTGGACGTACGTGCATAAAGTCTTCTGAAATGACTTCTTGTTTTAGCTGAGGAGACACACGGGTGGAGCCACGGGTGGTGTGGTGGATGCTCACAGTCTGACAAGATCCCTTCAACAAATTTGTTGCATGGCATCAAATGGCGGTAGTTAGTGACAATGTCAACGATATGACCCAATAGGATGTCACTCACCCTACTGACTGACAGTCTTCAGAATTCTACGAAGGATGATATAGACTTTTTAAGCAATCAAGGGGAGAATAAGGAGCGGTGAACAGTTAAGAAGAATAGGTAAGATGCACGAGTTGACCAACTGTAAGAGGAGGAGGGGTTGAGTGCCTTGTGTGCCTGAGTCCCTTAACTTCTTAATGCAAATAGTCAGAAAATATATTTTTTAGAAATCGCTAATACATGGGAAGACCAGGATAGGTCAGTAGAAAGAATTAATCCAAGATACTTAACTTCAGACCTCGTTCCTATATCAATATCATCAATTTCCCAACGGTCATAGGAACCAACAGCTTCATTTAACTTTCGTTTACATCGAAAACTGAAATTAACAGTCTGATATTTTGAAGGATTTCGTTTAAGACCATTAGACAACGACCATTTGCTAACTCCTGATAGAAAGCTGTTCATCTAAGTATAGTCTAGTCTAGCTGGGAGTTAACAGACATTGAAATAGTTAGATCGTCTGAATACTTAACAAAGTTAATTTTGTTATCAGAGGGAGGCAAGTAATGCAAGAAGAAAGAAAAGAGAAAAGGAGAAATGATAGAGCCTTGAGGGAGACCAGCCTCAGTAAGCAATGAAGTGGATGACTTCCTCTGACCGACATACAGTGTACTGCTTTCTTCCTGAGAAATAAGAATGCAGCCATTTGATAAGCCAACAGTCAATTTGAGTCTCAAGGAGCTTGTTTAGCAAAATGTTGTCCCTAGGTACTGAGTGGAAAGCAGATGTGTAATCAAGGAAGGTGAAGTAAACAAATATATAAATGTGAGGGAGAAAAGGGCAGTAACACGAAATCATACGACGATTTAGGGGATTTGGAGGAGATCACAGAGAGAGAGTGAATATTTCTGTACAACTGAGAATGACTTTAAGCCATGTTAACAATAGTCTCAAACCACTGGTTCTTAGCATTTCAAGGATCTCAAACCAGAAAGAGTCTGCACCCCCCCCCTACATGGCTCAAACCTGCTGTCAGAGACTCCATGAAGTGATGTCATGTTTTTGGTTTGACCGCCTCAAACTCTTTTCCAACTTATCATATGTCGGGTAACACTCCTCGTCGAGGAAAGCGGTGTTCATTAATCTCGAAGTCATTGTATTCGGATGTGACTATGTTATTATCAATCTACAGAAATGTTTAGACATCTTCATTCCTTCTTCTTATTCACAACTCTGAACACATTCCAAAAAGCCCGGAATCCTAAATATCCTTATTCCCTTATCGGGCCTATCGGCCAATATCCAGCCGAATGAGGATGTAAGATAGATATTCAAACTGCTTATGACATTATTTTTCAAGTATTGGTTTTGTTGCATTGCATGGAGGATTTTATCATCAACAGTTAACATCAGTTAAATAACCACTGGAAAACCGAGTGGAAGTACTGGACAGCTGTTTCGTCCCAGCTCAGGACTCTTCATCACCACGCATTCAACACAACAGGATCGACCCCAGGACCACGTTCTGGTTACAAGGCGAGCTCGTAGACCATTGAGCCACTGGGACCCGATCTAATGGCTAGCTAGCCAGTGCATGAATTCCAACTTCTGACAATTCACGATATAGCGCGACTGGCGAATATTTGTCCTCACACCCACGACCTGCTCCACCCTACTAGTCACAACTTCTCAGCTCATGATGAAATCTTGTAACCAATTAATCAAATCTCTACAAACCAGTTCTTGAGATGCTAGAATTGTTCACTGAACACTAGGTTGAAAAGTTTTAACTAGCTTGATATTTATTAGTTCAAAAGAATATAGGTATGGGACATAATTTTTTTTTTGATTTACGGCTTGATTCCACACTGTATTTTTGGTACAGGTATGGAATTTTCAGCATGGATATCGGTAGCCCAAATTTTGCAGGCCAACCATAGATATCAAATGTGCGTCGGTGCGGGCTCGAACCCCGGACCATGTGCATGGTCGGCGAGAGTCCTAACCACTGTGCCACCGACGCAATAATAATGCCTTGAGCATAGTTTATGTTTTAAAGTTTGACTGACTGTAGAACTCAATGCAGAAACTGATCAATTCAAGTTGACATGCTTTAAAATAGCACACGTACACGCACGCATGCACACACAGATTAAAAAAGAATGCAGAAGTGCAATGACGCATTAGTGATGACATATTTATGCGGACTATTAATTAAGAAAAGGTTGCTAAACATTTTTAAAGTCTAAATAATTCTATATGTCCAAACCAAGTTCACTTATAATAGTTTGAAAAAACAGTTTGGGCGTTGGGTGGTATATGATATGCATTATAATAAAGCTTCTTTTATTCACTTCCCAATTAATGAAAAAGAACAAAACGATATTGTCCTTTTAACTGACATTTCGCTATTAAATGCTGTTGCTAATAGCTTTATCAAAGCAGCTATTATTAAACCAGAAGAATTTAAAAAATCCACTCAGCTTATATATGTAATAAAGAGTTAAGAGGTGGGTGAGAAAATAGACTTGACTACTTAAGTCAAGTTAGAAGGAGGATATATTGAAAGTCAAATATAACAATGAAGATCAATCACTAAACCAAATAACCTCAACAGTTGTCATTCCATGTAGAGCAGAGACGTCAGACGATATCAGAAGAGTACTCAGTCATCTCGACATCAGAGTTTTCTTCAAAACATCAGACACACTACGAAAGAACCCTGTCCATATAAAAGACCAAATCCCTAAAGATTCTCTATCTAGTTGTGTCTTTAAAATGAAATGCTTATTTGGAATGTGATGCGATATACATCGGACAAATATCGCTAGAGAGAAATCAAGGTAATCAGAAGAAATGAACACCGTGAAGCATCTCCGCGACCACCGAGAAATAAATCCAGTTCAATTAGAAAAGCTTGAAAATCCATCAGCCACAGATTGTCTATATACGTTACGCTATAGAATCAGGCCACAAAGTTGATTCTGACAATATTGAAATCGTCATCCAGAAAAAGCATTTCAGAAATCACAAAGAACGTCTCATATCATCATCTGAAGGACTTCATATCATCAAGTGGAATTCAAATTGTCTGTAGTGAATAGGAATGATGGATTAAAGCAGAATCTGACCTGGTTACAACACCCCCAACCCCTCCCACATGAAGTGACAAGCAAGTTCACTATGTAAACACACGCTACCTATATAATGTTACATACTGATCAAATCCAACAATCTACACACCTGGTTTTGTTATCCCTACCAATTGACCGACTTGACAACGAAAAATGACCCCAGACAGACGAATGATTATCAAGTTAGTAAACTTTGTTTTGATACCAGCCAGGGAAGATGTACTATTACCTTTGTGGTTTGGTTTAGTCATTCATCTTCATTGTTATTTTAACGTTCAATATGTCCTCCTTCTAACTTGATCTAAGTAGTTTATTTTCTCACCCACCTCTTAACTCTTTATTACATATATAAGCTGAGTGGATTTTGTAAATTCTGGTTTAATTATACCTTGATGAAGCTATTAGCATTAATTAGTGAAAACAATATCGTTTTGTTCTTTTTCATTCATTGGGAAATATTTCTATTGTGAAAATTTATGAAGCGTGTCAATATGTATCTGCAACCATTTTATCTCTGCATTCTGTGAACCCCAGTTAAGTTGCGACGTATACTTCTCACTGTGTACCACAGGCCAACAGACACTAACTTAATATATGCATTGATGTTATTTTATTTTTTTTAGTCCAATCAACCCCCTTAATTATGCTTTAAACTAACACCGATTGTCGAAGAAGAAGGCAGAGACTACTGGTAAGTAGAGAGTTTCCGAGCCATCTCAGTCGATACATGACTGCAGCCTTGCCTCATTCAGTTAGGAAATTGATTTCTTGGTTGATTTCCAACTCCACTTTATCTACCCATAGCGATTTGGGCACAATAGATTCGGCTTACTGC